ATTCCATAGGCATGATTGTGGAATAAACATGGAAATAAGTTGCTGAAGAATTGCTTTCTCACTTAAGTGTAAAGGGAAGCTTTTTCTTGCTAGCTGCTTTGGTTTATCCCCCGCCAGCCGCCTGGGCTCTGCCACATTGTAGTTCCCAAATAAACACACAGGAGGCTATATTCATTATGAAGCTGTTGGCCTTGCTTGTCTCTTACTGGGTAGCTCTTCTTTAAGTAATTACCCCATAATCGTTAATCTAAGTATGTCTCTTACCGGAGAATAGTTCCAGGTTCCTACCCCATGGCGTTACATGTCGACTCTCTTGTGTTTCTCCTTCCCAGAATCCTCCTGGACTCCTAGCCCCACCTATCTAGATTCCTATTGGCCAGACAGTCTTTATTGACAAATTCACAGGACTTCCCCCAACACTTAAGGACATGCTGTTATTGCTGTGGTTGAATGTGGTTGAATATCCAATGCATGTCATGTGAGAAGGAAGATGGGATGCCGTCTGTTGAGTACACAATTCATTTGAGAGACGTTATTCACATGGATCTCATTCTACCAGCAAGGGGAAGAAAATGATTTCTCTGGAGAGGATAGTGTTACTGAGCTCAAGGCACTGAGTGCATATCTACTGGTTCACAGTGTGAGCCCATCACATCCTCTAAGGACAGAGCAAATAAGTATCCATGAATTAATAGGAAAGAAAAACTGTATGTTATGCTGTGCATGACAGGACATAAGGATAAACAAAATGCAAGAGACTGAGTGCTGTTGTGTCTGAAAGAGCACGAGAATCTCTCCTTTGAAGTGAGTAGAAGGAGAAGTTGGGGATTTACGGTGAAATATAGGTGTTTGATTGTTCACTCATTTGGTTTTAGACAGAGGCTGATGTATCTAAGGCTGATATTAAACTCACTGTATGGCATGAATGATTGTCCTGTCTCTGAACACCAAGATTATAGGCACAAATAGCTACAGTGGGTATGTAGTACTAGATCATAACAAGGTGTTCATGGGTGCAAACATAATCAACTGAGCTGTATTTGAAGCAGCATTTTGGTACAGCACAGCAGATACAAACACAGAAATAGAAGAAGATGAGAACAATTGGCAAAAAGACAATCAAAGATATTCAACCTCATGGGGAAATATGGGGCACTAAGTAGTGAAAAATAGGTAAGACAATTGCTCCTTGAGCTATGGGGGTGGTTTGTGTTAATAAGAAGTTAAGAAGTGAAGGAGGGACCCACAGGGTACCATTCAGCAAATGGAACGTAAACCCAGTGAGCCATGGGAACAGCCCTGTTTCCCTTGCTGTCTACCTGTACATCCTTCTGAGGTACATGTCAAGATAAAAGCTACATGTGAGCTACAAAGTCATGTGCTCAGTGTCTCTCTGCTTTGCATCTTCCCTTCAGCATCAATGTGCATCTTTCCTCCTGTGGAATGCTTTTCTGCAGGCAAGGAATGGCTGGCCCTTGCTTCTTGAACTACTAGGACCTATGATGGTCTAAAGGTGATGCATATAAGATTGGCAAAGCTCTGTCTTCAATCACTTGCAAGGTTGTAGCCACAGGAGAAGATGACATGACTACAATACTCACAGCTTTCCTCTACCTTGGTGAAACGTGAAGATTGTGTACAGACACAGTCAGTGGGATTGGGGGATTTACTTTCCACAGTCCAGGCATTGTTCCATCAGGATACCTCAGGAGCTCTGAAGACATTTTTGGAAATGATGGCTACATAGTCCTTAGGGACAAATCTCATACCAGGAACTGTCTTCTAGAGCTGAATCTGGGACTCAGGAACCTAGTGCTTGCATGTTAGTGTGTCCTAAGGTGTCAGCCCCTCCTACTACTGGGAACAAAGGAACATTTCTTGACACTAGGAATGGGGAATGGCAGGTACAACTGAAGCATTGAAACTGCAATGGATCCTAGTGCAAAGTTTGCAATATCAAATCTAATGTCTGATGATAGAGTAGTTTGTGTTCTTGTGGGGGATCCTTACAATGCCTGACCTCAGGGCTGAGTCAGGATCTGTGGTTTTAAAAGGAAGACAGGTGATCACCTCAAGTGAGGAAACCTCGGGCCCCTGGGATTAAACCTCATAAAATAAAAGTCTTCATTCCTGGCAAAGAGTGACCCAAATGTTGCCTGGATTAAGGCTGAGTTCCTCATCCTGTTTATTAATTGGCACCATGTCAGGGAATATCTGCTACTATCAGAAGTCTCCTAGTTGGGCAGAGAACAGTGATACTCTGGAGTTGGTGGAGACAGGCAAGGGGACACTCAAGGTTCTCAGCTCAAGTTGCTAAATTCAGGAAAGGGGTCTGTTCTCAAGGATGTTTCCTTCCTATAGCACAACAACTAGGGTCAAATTGGACTGTTATACCATGTAACATGCTGCTTTCTTCTTAGTAGGATTCAATGGATTTTCTCTGTCCAGTAAAGGGAAGATAGTACTGATCTCTCCTGGCTCACAGTCCTCTGGTTTGTCAATGGTCATTCTGGTTGACTTTTGCCCTGAGCCCCATGAGTGGTTCCATGGGAGCAAGTACATAAGGCATAGTACAGACAGCCTTTCTTCTGTACATCTATGTAGGCTTTTCTGTCAACTCAATTTGTGTTCGATAAGCTAGAGTTCAAGCTGGGATCTCAGCAATGTCTGCAGTTTCACAGAGCTTTAGAGGCTGGGCCCCATAAGAGAATATGTAGATAATGATGCTAGTGCTCAGCCTGGGGAGGAGCAGATGGGTAAGGTGTAGAGCAGAGTAGCAAGCTCCCCATCTGCCTATCACTAATCAGACCCTGTAATATTGGGTTTCACCCATGTGAATCTGAGTCCTAAGAATACTGAGATCCCTGTTGGGAGATAGGATCTAGGATACCAGAGCAAATAATTGGCTTAATGTAGCCTCTTCTGTAGATGCTGTCTGTGGTGGTTTGAATGAAAATGGCTCACATAATAACATAGGGAGTGGGATTATTAGGAGTGGTCTTCTTGGAGGAAATGTGTTACTAGCATTGGGCTTTGAGGGTTCAATTGTCACACTGTCTTCGTGATGCCTGCCAATCTGATGTATAATTCTCACCTCCTTTTCCAGTCCCATGCCTTCCTGCATAGCTCAATGCTCCCAAGCATGATGATAACAGACTAAACCTCTGAACCTGTGAGCCAGTCCCCATTAAATGTCTTCCTTTCTAGGAGTTTCTGCAGTCAAGATAGCTCTTCACATCAACAGAATTTCCAACTAAGGCCCTGTTTATTACAAGCCTCTCCTCTCTCTGAGACTCAGTTTCTCCAGACATAATGGGGGGGAGTCAGGTTCACATTTTTATATTCCTTTCAGTTTAGACCTATGACATAGGACTTCCAGAACTACGTTCTGCAGTTATCCTGTCCCCTCTGCTATAATGATATGTGATTGTATGGGAGAGAACCCTAGCACTACATTCAGGCCCCATCGTTGGAGCTCATGGAATTCAGATCTGGTGTGAGGAGAAAGGCCAGAAGTCAGATACCCTGGCTTTAACCCCCAGGTTTGCCAGTCAGGAGAGTAGATGGATTTATGTTGCATGATTATGAAAATGGCAGATGATAAATGCAAAGATCCATAAAGAGTCTTGCTCATAGAAGGCTTTCAGGCAGGCATCACAGTTACTCATTCATTATGTCCCTTGTGTTCCAGGACTGGAAAGAACTTTCTGGTTCTCCTCAGAACATCTGTTTCCTCTCTCCTAATGTTTTCACTCCTCACACACTACTTTCTCTGGTACCACCATCAAGGAAAATGTAGGACGGATGGTAGGAGGGTGTGAGCATAAATGATCAGGATCTCAGAAGATGTTGAGGTCCCCTATCTACAATAAAATCAGACACTCAGTGCACAAGAACAAAGAAACCATCCATACTGGGACAGATGAACCTAGACGCACTTTCCTAAGTCTTAGATGAGCAAATGTAATCTCAGTACCTATGTAAATGTCAGACATTCTGTGCCATTTTAAACACTTACATTCTCTACAGGTACCTGACTTTACAGGACCCCCATCCTCCTGGGTGATATTCTTCCCTCTGTCAGTCCAAGAGAGAGACAACTAGCTTACAATTCTTTGAAGGATCTGTGGAGCAAGTGATCTGGTGACCAGAAACTAAAGATTTCCAAAGGAGGCCTTAATCTTCCAGAGAAGCAGAAGGGAGCTTGGTTGGTGGAGGGTATGTGAGAGTGTGGAAGTAGATGAGAAATGGGGAACTGAGATTGAAATGTAAAACATAAATCAATTTACAGACAGAAAGACAAATGTGAGCCTCCAGAGTTCTCTGACACCAGATTATCAGAATTTCCATGTAGGGTATCACAGGGCCCAGCTAAGGTAAAGTGATGGTTTGGGGGGATTTTCCTGTTACAAATCAGATGATGAATCCTAGGAAATTCCTCAACTCTCACCCCCATCTCTGTCTTTCCATTAGTTAACCCTGCTTTTCATCTGGCTGCCATGTGAAATTACCACCCAAGTTTACAGTTTAGTCTCATAGTTCAAAACCCTGATTAAGGACTGGAAAGATACCTGCATGGTTATCAACATTGGCTGCTCTCCAGAGGAAACTGATTCAGGCTTTCAGCATGCAAATGAAGTTTCACAATGATCCCAAACACTTCCATTTGATCTGATACCCATTTGTGTCCTCCATGGACACCAGGCATGAGTGTGGTACACAGACATGCATTCAGTGAAAACATCAATATACATAAAGTAAACTAAATTAATATCTAAGAAAACATGTTCAAGAATATCCCTGACTGTGTGTTCTGATACTTCCTAATTATTTTATTCCAGAAATATTAAAATTAATAACCAAAATGAACCAACACAGCTGGCCTCTCTGGTCTCTTTAACATTGTTGAGTTTTGTCTTGGAAATAATGATAGCTCATTGAAAGTTCTCCCTGAAGGTCTCTTGTTGAAGAGGTTAAATTCAGATACTGAATATTATTGATAATGATTTCACTGTTTTATTTGGTAACACTAAATATTTTAAAGAGAAGTCATGGAAACTTTTCAAGTTGGCTTATATCCAAATCCTGCCATTGATTTTGGTTGTCCAATGATCAAGCTTTCCTTCACAGAATGTTCTCTCCCATCACCAGTTGGCTCCAAATTCCTTTGGGATCAAGAAAAGAACTTACATGGGAATGTAAAGAAACAGAAGATGAAATGTGCACATGCCCTTAATTCATTATCACAATGATGAAAATTTAGTTAGAACACAGCCCTCATACTTTTACTTTAATAAACCCTGGCTCATATTATTTCAAATCCCTTTCAAAGGCCATACACCAGGCATCACAGCAGCTGAGATCCAGGAATAAATCTGTATATCATCTAACATTGATTCCAAGCACACACCTATTGGGATTTCTATCTAGCACGGGGAGCAGGAAAAAAATTGATTATTTTGGGCGGGTCTATGAAAATACCCATAAACTGATGTGTCTCCATGAGGGTAAGATGCTGGCTCTGTTTCTTTCATGAAGCAGACTAGCTCTCCTGACTCCTGGTTCTCATAATGAAATGTTCAGATTATCTTTGTGGTATTTCTGTGCATTGTCAAGATGAAGTTGTATATAGGAAGTTTTGCATCAAAATTTACTGTTAATTCATCATATTTAAAGAGAAGCTCCACAGCTTTTCAAGAATATATAAATATGGAATCCCAGATCTGTGGTGCACACAGATACTACTGAAATCCAGAAGAAATGCTGAAATTCTCATTCAATGCAGGGAGACATCTATGTGACTATCAGACCTCTGCTAGCTGGTCAGAGCTTAGTAACTAGTAACCCCTGGCTCTTGTAGTGATAAGTGAGAGAACACAGATAGTCTCCAGACCCAGGCAGGCCCTCAGAAAAGGGAATTTCTCTCAGTGATGTCCTCATAACACAGCCGAACACTTGGTGCTATTGTATACAGTAAGTGTCCATTTAACACAGAGATTCCTTGCCTCTTAGGTATCTACTCCAGCAATCCAAGCCTCTCAGTCCTGTACAGCCCTACCAGCCCTGCTTTGGCCACCAGTGATAATGTGACCATTCAGTGTGTCTCGCAGCATGGATATGAAGTAAATTGGAGCTCTCCTGGACCCTGAACTCACACCTACGCATACAAGGGATTACTCACTGTAGAACTTGTGACCCTCAGAGAGATGAAAAATAAAATGATATGGCTTCTGGTCCAAATATATGATCAGACTCCAGTCATGTGTTGAAGCTCTTGGTATCAAATGATGAACCCTTGTCTTTCTTTACATAATGGTGATTCTGATGCAGGTCATCAGTGTATGATGTGTGAGTAGAACCAACCTGCTGAGCCTATTGACACAAAGCATCAGAAACAGTAGAACCCAAAATATAGACCCCAAGGAATGTCTGTGAAAGGGGACTCTGGAATAGACATGAGAAAAAATTTTCACATGCCATCACATATGTGTCCTCCTAGTGAGGATTATCTTACATGTCTGCATGTTTGCCTTAACTGTGTCATTGTTCAAACACACAAAAATCATTCACACCTGCTTCTTGGCAAGGAACCTTCTGAAAGCTACCATCAGGCTTGAGTCAGCCTCTGTAGTCATGTCAGGTAATCTACATGATGTGAATATATGATATTAAGGCATCATGGTAACACAAATGTATATTCTTCATGACCAAGGAAACCCAGAACATTAGGACAGATAGACTCTGTTGGAGACAGTAACAAGGGCAAGTTCTCCTTCTGCCATGTGGCATGGCATCACACAGGGCAATATAGCTATTACTCTTAGAGCCTAGATGGATGATTAGAGCGCAGTGACATACTAGACCTGGTGGTGAAAGGTGACAGAACTCTCAGCAGTCCCAGCCCAGGGCTTATGTTCAGAAAGTGTTCTGCTGTCAGTGCCTTTCCTTTATCACAGGCAGCCCTGAAAAACAAATTGGCTATGAGACCATTGTAAACTAACCCCACATTCTCACTTAGGATTCCACAAAACTCTTGCCCTGTCAACCCAGCCAGTCCATGTGGTGTATTATGGAGATGACCTGATCTTCCATCATGTCTTATCACTAAGAAATGATGAGTTTGCTTTAACCAAGGAAGAACAAAAGCTCTCCTGGAACCTGGACTAACAGAAGACTTCCTTTAGACAGTAATAGGCCCTTGACACTGTAGGCTTTGTGTATCCCCATGCCTTTGGGACAATTCAGGTAAATCACTACTACAAAATAAAGCCCTAGCAGTTGTGTTTGAAAGACAGTGACCTACTCAGAAATACAAATCTGTAATATAGAAGCCACATCATATACTTGATAATTTTATGAGTTTTTCAAATCCACTCCCCTGATCCCAGTGATGCCCAAATGGGCCTGGTACTGAGCAGGAGTTCTTAGTTCCGAGGCAACTGACCCAGAATATGTGAGTCATAGACACCTGCAGGCTTTGTGCAAGAGGAAAGATGTCAAAAGAACCATCTTCAACAGGCAACATGACTTCCCTCCAGGGCTATATAAAATGCTCTCTCTCTCTCTCTCTCTCTCTCTCTCTCTCTCTCTCTCTCTCTCGTGGCCCCTGGAGAGAAACTTAATCTCCAGTGCTGATACAACATCTAGCATTACAGACTCACTTTGTCCATGCAATAGAGATGAGGCATATCACAGAGCCCTAACTTGCAGTTTTAGGTTAGAGTCTTTAATACCAAGGTTGCCATTTGCCCTATGAATTGCTCCCACAGTGACTAATACAGACACTAGGGTTCATGGAACTCTCTTTGAAGCAACTGGGTCACAGTGACCAGAGGGAACACTGATCATTTGGTAAAGCCCCAGATGTTCCAGTCAAGGACCCAGGCTCTACAAAGTGCATCTATTAGAGTCCAGGATGTATGATGACAATTCCAGGAAGGGACACACACAAGGTGAGAAGAACAATTAAAGCACAATGGAAAGAAAAATGCCCACATCCTCAGAAACAGGCTCTTGTTTCAGCTTGAACAAAGTTGGGAGCCCTTTACCTACCCTACCCTCTTTATCACAGCTCCCTGCCATTCCTTGAATGTCGGCACAATTAGCACTTGTGGTATCATCTTCTACGTACCCCTGCTGTTTGTGTCATGGAATCGGGTGGACACCACCTCTGTGCAAAGATGCAACATCCTGTTCCCGTTGCATCTATGAGCAGAATACAGAACTCAGTACATGAGGCTGGGACCTAGGGCTTCCAAGGGGCTTACAGGTGCTGTAAACTTCAATGTTCATCCCCTAATCCAACTTTCTTTTTTTTCTTTTCGGTTTTATGAGATAGGCTTTGGAGCTTATACTGGCACTTACTCTGTAGACCAGGCTGGCCTCAAACTCCAGTGATCTGCCTGCCTCTGCCTCCCACGTGCTGGGATTAAAGGCGTGCGCCACCAACACCTGGCCCAGCTTTCTTTCCTATATTCCTTTATTCATTGATTTTGTTTCATTTTGTTATCATCATCGTCATCATCATCATTGTCATGGCCACTATGATGATTGTTGTTATTATTATTATTGTTTGTGATGTTTTTCCAACATAATATTTTATTGATTTTTGGAGGTCTTTCACATAATGTACCCTGACCATAATCATTTCCCTGCCTCCCAAGTCAAACCACTATCTTGTGACATCTCACAAAAAAAGAAGAAAAGAAAAAATCAAGTCCAGTTTATTGCCCATATGCACAGTGGAACCTTGTCAAACTTCCAGTATCCAGCTCCTCCAAGACAACTGAGTACTTCCCCACTCCCACTACTGAAAGAAGTCATTAACTGTGAGGACCAACACTTCAGGACCCCTATTACAATATTTAAGAGTTCTTTTTGTGAGCTACATGTCTAATCTGCTTCTTTTTGGAGTGATTATGTTAAGAGGATGGGGAGTTGGTAAGGGCAATGGGAAAGAGAGGTTATCCTGGAAGCCTTCTCTCTCTGATTCTTAACTGAGAGTCTGCAGTCATCAGTACCACTGCCAAGAAAGCTTTTGGTTTTTATGGTTTCTGAGGCTCAAGCTTGAAGCAATGGACCACTTATTCTTCCTGCACCCTTCAGATACAGATGAATAACTCTTGGGAACATCTCCAGCCCATGTCTGTCTGCATGCCACCATGCTTCTCCCCATGATCATGCTGTACTAATTATCTGAACTCTAAACCTCTTCTAATGAAATGTTTTCATTTATAAGAGCTGCTGAGGTAAGGGTGCCATTTACATCAATAGAAACACTAAGGAGGACAAAGATGATGTGTTTGAACTATAGGAACATGCTGGGCTCACTGGTGTCACACAACTGAAGAAAATTAGTCTCCTCAATCCAGTATTCTTCTCAAGTCAATAGCTCATGATAGAGATTGTGAGTCATTACCTGACCCATAATTGACTGTGGACAGGCATACTATGTTATAGACCCAGGGCAGGTTGCAACATTCACATTTGCAAAGTCAGTGTTATTCACAAAAGATAACATTTGCTGCCTGGTCCAATGTTTTGCCTCTTATATTCTTTCTCCTTCCTCTCCAATGATAGACACATGTATCAATATCCACCATGTATCTCTTCCCACACCTCCACCCAAATGACATGTATCCAATTCATCATTTATCAGATAAGTCATACTATCAACAGCTTCAATTGCTTCTTCACATGATTGCTCACAACAAAAAGTCAATTCAAGGTTTTCTATAAATTCATAGACTTCATCACACTCTGGTGAATTTACCATAGGCTCTACAGAGATGAGAAATGCCCTCTCTTGATGTGGGTTTACTTCTTATCTTTCTAAAGAGTGTTTTCCGTTGAAAGAATTACATCACTTTCCCCCTCATGTTCTGCTGTTTGACCTTCCCTGATGCCATGCCTTGAAGATTTCCAATGCCCAGAGTCTCAAAGTGATAACCTCTTTTCCTTTGCTTATTATTAGTCTATATTTGTACATGTTTGTGCACATATATGTGAATACAATCTGCTGAATCAGATTTCTGTTGATGTTTGTGAGTATATCATTCCAGAGTATCAATCCAGCATCAAGAATGCCTATCTTCATGGTAACTGGAGGTAATCACAGAAAGCCACATGTGTACACAATGCAGAGATCAACAGATCATGGGTGTTCTAGCCCCAACAGACAAATCTACATCACAGATCCTGCATCTGTGACCCTATGGAGGGAACAGAAAGATGTAAGAGACAAAACATCAGGATGTCACCAATGAGATTAGTTCTCCTGGAAATGGCTGAAGAAATGGCATGATTCTTTTTCCAGAGATGAATAAGATAAGAACAATGCAGTATAAAACAACATATTAATAGGTAAAGGGAAATGTTTCATGGTGCCCCATGATTAGACAGGCAACTACTGTCAACTAATGACCACTAGCAAAAGGACAATTGCTCTCTCTAATGCAGGTGAATCCATTACCATTAGAAGAAGGTAGGATCTCTCAACTTATTAAATTCTGTAACCAATGTAGTATTATATTTTCTTGTTTTGTGACCAGAATTGTTGAGATTAAATGCCCACAACAACAAATCCAGATTTTATTCGTACTTATTTGTAGTTTTTAAATTATTTATTTATGGGTTTGGGGACCACACTAAGGTATTAGATGGAGGTCAGAGAACAAATTCTGGGAGTCAATTTTCTCCTTCAACTATATGTGCCCTGCTGATTAAATTTAGGATATCAGACTTAGAAGAAAGTAAATTTACCTGCAGAGATATCTCACTGGACCTAATTTATTTACTTATTGTTCGAGACAGGGATTTTCTATGTTTCCCTGTGTGTTCTTTAGTTTACTATGTAAGCCAGATTGGCCTCAGACTCTGAGAATTATGCAGTCTCTTCCTGTTAAGTGCTTAGGTAAAAGGCATTGACCACTGACTCATTTTTAATTTATTTATTTATAAGAAGGGTCTTCTAATGTGTTCTAGTCTGCCGTCTTACTCCTGATTATATTGCCAGCTGATGCTCTTGTCAACACCTTGAAAGTACTAGGATTTAGGGTGGGTACCAACACATCTGGCCTTTGGTGGCTAATATTTGAAAAATGTTACACTTTGTACTACAAGATAGCATGAATTGTACTAGGCATCACAAGATGGCCACGAAACAAAGTCAATTCTCCTGCCTCAGCCTTCCTTGGGATGGGATTATTGGTTTGTGCAACTATGCATGTAAATTTTCCTGTTTCCTGGCTTTAATGAGAAATGTCATTAAAATTTGTAAATTTAAGACCCCCCTTATATTTAATCTCATTTCACTTGATAGTTGAATAATCTGATACTTTATTTCCAAATTGTGTGAATTTAGTTAAATTGCAGTCAGGTTTCCTCAAACTTCCATAATACCTTACAGGTCTCTGTTAGGCATCCTTGCAGGCAGAGAGACATCAATGCTTTTCTTGGGAATGGGCCCTGGATTCTTGGCTGCCAGAATAGTATATATGCTGACTCCTCTGGGACCTCCACTGTATGGGTGGGAAGAGAAACAGCTGTCTCCTGTAGGAGTGTAGTATGGAAGGCCCGGACACAGGTCACATCCTGAGGTTTTCAGAATTTGCAGCCTGCAATAGAAAAGAGTGAAAGGAAATTATATAGCTTGAGGAAAACTGCTGGGCTAGGGAGGAATAGAACCCACCTGAATGTCCATCTCTCTGCCATCTTCTTCAGTTTGTCCTTCTTTGGTGCCCAAGACTTCTCTTGCCACAGCAAAAGGTAGGACAGTTCCAGCCCTCCTGAGCCTGGCGGGGTATCACATTGACATATATAGCTCCCAGCTGGCTTGTCTCAGTTGTTCTCTGTTGCAGAGAGTGAATGAAGAGTGGATATTGTTCCAGTGTTGTCCTGGGGATCTCCCCTGGCCAGTTTTCCACACCATGAACAGACTGAACAGTTTAGGCTACAGTTCTGGCCTCTTATCCTGACACTCTAAACTTTGTTGTCTTGACTCCAGCCACACAATCCAGCTTCCAGAAACAAATGATTCTAGGGGCTGGAGAGATGGTTCAGTAGTTAAGAGCACAGACTGCACTTGAAGAGCATCCGGGTTCAGTTTCCACTGCCCACACGATGACTTATGCTCATATGTAATTCCAGTTCCACAGAATCATACATGCTCTTCTGGACTCTGTGGCACTAGGGAGACATGTTCTATACAGATATACATGCAGGCCAAACACCCATACACATAAATGACCTACAAAACTAAACCCCATATTTCTGCCCAATTTACTTTGTCCTGTTGTGTCCCCTGTCCACAGTTGATCTTAATTCAGATGTAACTTGGTCCATGTGGGTTTTGTCTTCAGAAGACACCTTTCCGGGCACTCCCTTGTAATTCGCACTGACCCTTTCTTTTCCCAAACACTTCACCCTGTGATATGCTTTGTTTGTCTGCATTTATTGGCATATTGCCTAATGCTGGTTAGGAAGTGTGCTCTTGGCTCTAACTGTAATCCATTCAGGAAGCCTGGTAAGGAAGAGGATTCCTGTTACAACTGTGTGAGTAAGTAGAGGTAATGGGGGCATCTGGATTCCCTTAGCCCTGTGATCCATGAGTTTCTAAGTGCATGTGAACAACCAGACAGATACTGAGGAGCCAGGGGACATGAGGGAGGAACCACCTGGTCCCAGGAATGCCAAGACAAAGTGAAGCCTAAGCACATAGGAGTCAGATGATGCTCACAGAAGGGAGTGGGCAACTGTGAATGTTGCTGAAGGCTGAGAAAGGAAGAATAAATAATAACTCCTGGACCACTCAGGTCACTAAGTTCTTAGTACTGTAGACAGGGGCAGGGGCCTCACTGAACTGTTCATCTCCACACCAAGTTCAGGCTGAATGTCCTCCACCAAATCATCTGTCATAGAAGAACAAACATTGCCTTGGGGGTCGAGTCTAGGGATGACTCAGATTCCTAGTTCCCTGGATAGCCCCAAGTGGAAATGGAGAACAGGGCATGTATTGATATCTTTGAGTTCATAGTGTGAAGTTCAGACCCAATCAGCAAAAACTCCAGAGTCCCTCCACCCCCGACCCCATAACATTGAGCCCTCAGACATCTGCATCCCCAAGACAGTCTTTTTCTCACAAATACCTTCTTCCTGGGTAGCAGTATCTGGGTTTGATCTGGAGAGAAAAGAAGATGTTAATTGCCACCAAGTAGTGTCAGATAGGTGGGGCTATGTCTATCGCCATCAGTTACCTCTTCTGGGGGCCTCTGACCCTGGTTACTAGCTCTGTAGCTCCTTCACAATGTTGCAGCTCTGTCTCTTTCTGGGCTGAAAAAGAAAAAGGGTGACTGAGCTAGGGGCATAGCAAGCTACATGCCCAGGCATTCTCAGGCAAGGAAGGAAGGGACCTTTATAGCACATGGATGAGTTAGCATATGTCCTAGGATATTGTCAACACCACAGCACATATAAAATCCCAAAGATTCTAATATCATGTGCTTTCTGAACTAAGATTTTCAATACTTTCTACCCTACCCTGCCCCAACTTGAGATTTACCTGGTTGTAGTGTCCTGATCCTCTTCTTGAATGGTCCACAGGGGAACCTACAACTACCTGAAAGCCAGGTCGCTCATCATTCCCCAAAGAGGGTAAGGCCCTCCTTGGGGGGATCTCCAGAGGTTGTCATTTCATCCAGGGCAAGACCTAGGCCAGATGGCTTCAGTGCAGAATTCTACCAGAAATTCAAAGAACAGCTTATACCAATTCTCCTCAAAGAATTCCATGCAATAGAAGCAGAAGGGTCTTTGCCAAACTCTTTTTATGAGGCTTCAATAACATTGATACACAATCCACACAAAGACACAACTAAGAAAGAGAACTTTAGACCAGTATCCTTCATGAACATTGATGCAAAATACTCAATAAAATACTGGCAAATCGGACCCAAGAACACATCAAAACAATCATTCACCATGATCAAGTAGGCTTCATTCCAGGGATGCAGGGTTGGTTCAACATATGAAAATCCAGCAATGTAATCCACCATATAAACAAACTGAGGAACAAAAATCACATGATCATCTCACTAGATGCCGAAAATTCCTTTGACAAAATCCAACACTCCTTCATAGTAAAGGTCTTGGAGAGATCTGGGATAAAAGGAACATACCTAAACATGATAAAAGCTATATACAGAAAACCAACAGCCAACATCAAACTAAGTGGACACAAACTCAAGGCGATTCCACTAAAATCAGGAACAAGGCAAGGTTGTCCCATCTCCCCACACCTCTTCAACATATTGTACTTATTGTACTTAAGTTCTAGCTAGAGCAATAAGACAACAAAAGGAGATCAAGGGGATACAAATTGGAAAGGAAGAGGTAAAACTTTCACTATTTGCAGATGATATGATAGTTCACATAAGTGACCTAAATAACTCTACCAGGTAACTCTTACAGCTGATTAACACCTTCAGCAAAGTGGCAGGCTACAAGATCAACACAGGAAAATCAGTAGCCCTACTATGTACAGATGATAAAAGGGCTGAGAAAGAAATCAGAGAAACATCACCCTTTACAATTGCTACAAACAACATAAAATACCTTGGGGTAACGCTAACCAAACAAGTGAAAGATCTGTATTGCAAGAACATTGAGTCTTTAAAGAAAGAAATTAAAGAAGCCCTCAGAAAATGGAAAGATCTCCCATGCTCTTGGATAGGTAGGATCAATGTAAAAAAAATGGCATTGCTGCCAAAAGCAATCTACAGATTCAATGGAATCCCCATTAAAATACCAAAACAATTCTTCACGGACCTTGAAAGAACAATAATCAATTTGTATGGAAAAACAAAAGACCCAGGATAGGCAAAACAACCTTATTCAACAAAGCAACATCTGGAGGCATCCCCATCCCCGACCTCAATATCTACTGTAGAGCTGTAGTCCTGAAAACAGTTTGGTATTGGCACAAAAATAGACAGGTAAACCAATGGAATCGAATTGAACATCCTGATATTAAACTATACATGTATGAACATGTGATCTTCAACAAAAAGCTAACATTATACAATGGAAAAAAGAATGCATCTTCAACAAATGGTGCTGGCATAACTGGTTGCTGGCATGTAGAAGAATGGGGATAGATCCATGTCTATCACCATGCACAAAACTTAAGTCCAAATGGATCAAAGACCTCAACATAAATCCCTCAATATCTGCACTACCCTTACAGAACCACATCCCATAGGCAAGAAGTGTCTGTAGGGTGATGGTTATGTGGATGGGTTGGTGTTCCAATATTTCCACTTGAATTTTTTATGGTAACAGGAGATGGATAGAAAAAGCTATGTATCTGATAAGTCTCTGATATTTAGCTGTGTTACCCTTGTAGATTCCTGGGCATTTCACTTTCATTAGGTTTCTAACTGAGCAACAAATGACCCCCCATTTCTAGCCATCTTCTTGAGTGCTCTTCTACTTCATCACCCCAAACAGACTTCTATGTTCTCATCCCCAACCAGTCATAGCTCCCCAGCAAATTCACTTCTATTTCATTTGCCCAGAGAGGTTCACATATTCCCAACTTGAAGATTCTTTGTTACCTGCCATCACTGGAATTTCAGATTGTAGCATCATTATCCTTTACCTTGCAAGTCTGTACATACCATGTTTGATTTTCTAGTTCTGTGTTACATTATGCAAGATGATCTTCCCTACAACCATTTGTTTGTCTGCAAATTTCATAATGCCATTGCTTTTGAGAGCTAAGTAATATACCACAGTGCACATGTACCACATTTTCTTTATCCCTTCTTTAGTTGACAGACATCAACATTGTTTCCAGGTTCTGGCTATAACACACAGAGTTACTATGAACATCGTTGAGCAAGTGTTTTTATGGTATGACTGAACATCCTTTGGTATATGCCCAAGAGCAGTATATCAGGGAATCAAGGCAGAGGGATTCCCAACTTTTTGAGAAACAATCATATTGATTTCCAAAGTGGCTTTACAATTTTGTGCTGCCACCAGTAATTGAGGGATGTTTCCCTTGCTTCACATCCTTTCCATTATAAGTTCTCATTTATTTTTTCAGTCTTAGACATTTTGACAGGTGTAAGAGGGAATCCTAGACACATTTTTATTTGTATTTCCCTGATGACCAAGGATGCTGAACATTTCTTTAAGAGTTTCTCAGTCATTTGAGATTCATCTGTTGAGAATTCTCTATGTAGATCGGTTGTTGTGGAGTAGTCTTTTTGTACATCATGAAGATGTGTCATTCTGATTGGTTTAATAAAAATATAAATGGCCAATGATTAGGCAGTGTTTCTGGGTAGAGTGGATGCTGGTATGAAGGCAGAAATAGGAGGAGACATAGAGCAAGCAGTATGGGCAGTACGGAGATGAGGTATTAAATGCCTAAGGTAGAAATTAGATTAATAGAAATGGGTTAGTTTTAAGAGCTACCAAGAAACAAGCCTAAGCTAAGGCTGACATTTCATATAAGAGTCTGCATTGATTTTCATGAGATAGTGGCACAAAGAAATAACCAGACTAAAAATGGTGCACAATATGAGGAAAGTACTTCCACACAGGACCTGAGAAAGCTCAAAAATAAAACTTCAAGAAACCCAAATACAGAGCCAGATGCAACTTCCTAGCTCTTTAGTCTCACAGAAAGCCCATATTGTGCAGAAACAGTTCTGCCTCATGAGCTAAGTTGTGTGATGGTTTTAGGTTTTGACTTATGAGGTCAGAGAACACTACCAGTGACCATCGAAGCAAGCTCCATACTGGAAAAGTAAAAAGTATAGACAGTCATAGAAAAAATAGTTTAAAAATAATAAAAGAAATTCTTTACAGAATAAACCATGGAAAGATGAGAAGTATTACAACAAAGTGAGTTTGGACCTTACATGGTATGTTCTAAATTTTGAATTTTTGAATGCTAATGAAGAGGCAACAGCTACTGAGAGACATGGGTTTGTGAAAAACAGTACTGAATTAAACCAAGCTATAAACTTTAGGAAATCCTTAATAATTGTGTTAATGCAGGTATGTTAATTACTTTTAAATGATTATTTGTTTTCAGAGCAAGGGGACCAAACCCTAAAGAAAATGGGTGGCCTAGGTTATCCAGCCTCTCAGAGTGCCTGTGTTGCAGTTTCCATAGAATTCTTCATGCAAAACAGCTTCAAGGCTGCTGTTTGAGATGGTACAACTTCACAGACTACTCCAGCCAAACTTCTGATAAGTCCCACATATTCCAGTCACACCAAGTCTTGACAACAGTTAACTCTTCCTGAAATTATTCATTTAATTTTCTCTGGGTCCCCTAAATATGGCATTGCTTCAGACAAGAGGAAGCTAGTCTGTAGGACACAATGTCCACATTCCTAAGAGGTGGGGTAATAATGTTTTGGTCATTTGGGGAGTTAGGGATGTTCATCATAGTCAAAACAATAAGTACTTGTAACAAACCCCACATCAGACAAAGGACTGACTTCCAAAATATGCAAAGAACTCAAGGAGGTAGTCACCAAAACATCAAATAATTCAACTAAAAAGCTGGGTACAGAACTAAACAGAGAATTCTCAATAAAGGAATCTAAAATGGATGAAAGACACTTAAGAAGTTGTTCAAATTCCTTAGCCATGAGAGAAATGTAAATCAGAACAAATCTGAGATATCATCTTACACCTGTAAGAATAGCTAAAATGAAAAACACCACTGACACTTTATGCTGGAGATGATGTGAATGAAGAGGAACTTCTCCATTGCTGGTGGAAGTTCAAACTTTTACAGCCACTTTGGAAATCAGTATGGTGGTTTCTCTGGAAAATGGGAACCAGTCTATCTAAAGATCTATCAATTCCACTCTTAGGCATATACCCAAATGATTCACATTCATACAACAAGGACATCTGTTCAACTATGTTCATAGCAGCATTATTTGTAATAGGCAGCATCTGGAAGTAACCTAGATGCCCCTCAATTGAAGAATGGGCACACAAAATGTGGTACATATACACAATGGAGTACTACTCGGCAGAAAAAACAATGAAATCTTGAAATTTGTAGACAAATGGATGGGACTAGAAGAAACCATCCTAAGCAATGTAACTTAGTCACAGAAAGACAAACATGGTATGTACTCATTCATATATGGATTCTAGACATGGTATAAAGGTTTACCAGCCTACAATCCACACCTCCAGAGAAGCTAGGAAACATAAGAGACACATATAGAGTTCACCAGTCAAACAGAAATAGACAAGAGCCCCTCAACAAATGGGTAATATGGGGGTGGGGGAGGGACATAGGAGAAAGAGGAGGAGAGAACAGGAGGGGGGAGGACAACGTGAGGAATCAGAAAGATTGAGTGGGTAGAGGAATAAAGGAGAGCAAGAAATGAGATATATCAATAGATGGAGCCACTATAGGTTTAAAGAGAAATCTAGCACTAGAGAATTGTATAGGGATCCACAAAGATGACCCCCAACTAGGACCCTAAGCAATAGTGGAGAGGCTACCTTAAATGCCTATCCCCTATAATGAGAATGATGACTACCTTAAATGCCATCCTAGAGCCTTCAACCAGTAGCTGATGGAAGCAGAAGCAGAGATCCACAGCCAAGCCCTGAGCCAAACTCCTGGAATCCAGTTTCAGAGAGGGAGGAGTGGTGAGCAAAGGGGTCAAGGTCACGCTGGGAAAGCCTACAGAAACACCTGACTTCCAGTAGAAGAGACAAAGGAATCATTTATGAGCCAGAGGTTTCATGACACTGTAAGAAAGTGGCTCACAGCAGCAACTAAGCAAGGGCCCTATAGAGTCACAGAGACTAAACTAGCAGTTAGGATGCCAATGTGGGTCTGACCTATGTACTCTGCATACATATTCTTCTTGTGTAGCTTGGGATTCCTGTGGTTCTACTAACAGAGAAATCAGGTGCTGTTTCTGAATATTTTGCCGACTTTTGGGAACCTTTCATTCCTACTGGGTTGCCTTGTTCAGTCTTAATAAGAAGGGATGTGCCTAATTTTGTTATACTTTGATGTGCCTTGTTTGGTTGATATCCCTGGGAGGCCTACATTTTTCTGAATATAGTGAAGTCGAAATAGATCTAAGAGATGTGGTTTGGAGGAAGGATTTGGAGGAGAGGAAGGAGGAGGAACAGAGTTTGGGATGTAATACATGAGAGAAGAATACATTAAAAAAATCCAGACAAGCATTATGAATGACAATCCCCCAAAATTACCACTGAGTTCATTTTATATTGGCCATCTATTGCTTAGCTTGTCCTTAAGTGTGGTTTGCATATCAGTGTGATTCTATTGGAAAAATCTAATTTTTCTTTTGCAAGTGTTTATCAATTTGAGACAGATTTTGCATTGGGGATGGTCTTGTTTTCACATTCCCTATGCACCGGGACACTATCCTCCTTAAACTTGCACTGGTGTTGCACATGCTGTTCCAGTTTCTTTGACTCCATATTTGCATCAAACTGTTCTGTCTGGAAAACAATTTTTGGTCTTATCCTACTACTCTGAGATCTCATAATATCTCCAAACTCTTCCTCAGTCTTTCCTGAACTTTGAGTGGAGGAATTTGATAAAGACATCCCATTAAGGATTCAGTGTTCCAAGGTTTCTCCATTCATATTGTTCAGATGTGGGTCTCCTTATTAGTTCCCACATGCTGCATGAGGAAGGTTTTCTGATAATGGCTGAGCAAGACATTCATCTAGGAGTCACTTGTACATGCATAGTCTATCTTGTTTCAGGTTCCTGACCACTCCAACAATGGTGGCACTAAGATTTGTGAGGATTAGCAACACAATTTCCATGATGCCAGATTGTAACCCTGGCTTGAGAATCATTACTTGGAGAGTGTGTAACTTTAGTTGCTCTAAGTTAAAATTTGAATCTTTTGTTGTTGTTGTTGTTTTTACGAGATGGGGTTTCTCTGTGGATCACTCATGGCTCTCCTGGAACTCACTTTGTAGACCAGGCTGGCCTTGAAGTTACAGAGATCTCTCTGCCTCTGTCTCCTTAGTACTGGGATTAAGAGTATACACAACTGCCAAAGGGTAAAATCTGAACCTCTTAAACTTTCCTCAAAATCTGTTCACATTCCTCTCGAGAAATCAAATCCTCACAATGAAGTGAGACTAGATTTGGGATATTGGAACAGCATGTGATGCAAAGTATACTTTCAGTTAACCACAATAAGAATTTATAGAAACCACTGTGGCTTATTTAAAAAAACAGGATGGACAAATGTAGAGGAGACTGTGTTCCTCCTGAATTTTATTAATGGCAGCACAGAAGCTTTCTGGATCTTGGCCACACTTCTATTACTTCCGTATGGAAACAGATATTTCTTCTCTAGGGAACATCATTTCAGAAAAATTCCATTTCTTCGTGGCCCTGCCTACTAAACATAAACACATGGGCTTCAAGTCATCTGAAGTTAGGAAAGGATGAAGTTTCTTTTCAAGAACTTGACTGAAACTAACAAATAAGATCTATACATAAAACTTATTTTTTCAGAACAAATTCAACCTTCTTTTAGGGCATTTTTAAAAGTATGTGTTATTTGATGATATCATATATTTATATAACACAATCTGATTATCTCTATCCTACCATCTTTTATCTCCTGCCTACCAATAGCAACTTTTATCTCATCACTGTAAATCAATTCCCTCATCTATGTCTATATTTTATTTCATAATGATTTGAACTAGGGTTGTCTATATGACCATGTGAGTATAATTATAAGAACCTGGTGTGCTCACTGTTGGGCACACAACTGAATACAATGAGTCTTCTTCCCAGTGCATAAGGAGTCCAGCCTCGAGAGAGACATCTGTATCACAGCTAATGCATCTATGGCCCAGGTAATATTACATAAAGGAATATAGAAATATTGCAAGAGCCACAATACCAGGATGTCTTCAGTGAAACAGTTTCTCATAGAAATGGCTGAAGAAAGGCCCTGTTTGTTATTCGGAGAAATAAACAAGACTGAGCAGGATCAGTGAACATATTTACATGGAAAGGAGAAATTTTTATGGGGTCTCATGCTTACACATAGAACTATAGGTACCTAGTGACTAATAGAAGAAAGAGAATTAGTCTCTTTCAGACATGAAATAATGTAATAGCCAATGTAGGGTAGTTATTGCTGATTTTTTAAATAAATACATTACCATCCTACAAAATAATCATTGTCTTACAGTTATAAGAAAAGATATTCACTCTGAACCTACTAAATTGTATCAAAATGTAATAGTACCATTTCTTGGTTTACTTTTAATTTTAAAACATTGAACACATTAACACATAAGTGTAGTTTTCCCAGGGATATCACTCCTGGGCATATACCCAAAGATCTCTCAATCATACCACAAGGATGATGGAACCAGAAGCAGAGATTCTCAACCAGGCAGCAGGCTGAGCTCTTGGATTCCAGCTGAAAAGAAGGAGGAAGGAATTTTGAGCAAGGTATGCTAACATCCAGATGGAGATGTCTACACAAACAGCTGAACCAAGCTCATAGAAACTCATGAAATCTAGACCAACAGCTGAGAATAGAGGGGAACAAACTAGGCCCTCAGTAGGTGAGAGAAAGTTGTGAATTTGAACTGTCTGAGGGACCGCGTTAAAAGCCTAGTACGTAACCTAGCTTGTTGGAGCCCATTCTGTATGGTGGGATGACAGACTCAGGCTTAATGCCTAGGAGAAATGATTGCCCTGTGGCAACCTACTGTGCCAAACATTGCTAACCCTCATGGGAGCCTTATGCATGAAGAAAAGTGGACTGGAAGTAGGTTTGGGTCAAAGCATGGGGGGCAGGAGGAGAGGGAGGGAGAATTGCAGTTGGAATGTAATATGAAATATACATAATATATAAATAAAAGTATAGTTTTCACCCCCTAATTATAAATGTATACCTTTACAGGACACAGGCACCGCTAGAGAAAACTTACAAGTGGTCAAATTACAGAGAACAACTGATTGTGGTGCCCACATCCAACTGATACATCAGCAATGCAGCTCCAACTCCTAAGCATGAGTGAACAGTGCATGAAAGGAGGCAAGTCTGTAAGTGCCATAAGACCTGGATATCTTCTGTGAGAGTGGGTCTCCTACAAACGACAGGGAAGCCACATCCATAAACCTCAACAACAGGGCTTTCTAAAAAAACCTGAAAAAGGAGAACACCAGTAAACACTCTAATATGTAAGGAAGAAATCACACAAGTCTCTATAACTAGACAAAAGAAAACAAAGTACTGAGGAAAACTGAGAGAGGGAGAATCGATCTTCTGCAGGCATAGCCTCTAGTTCCTCATTCAAGAAAACTCGGCCCCAAGAACCAACGAAGAGTTGGTTCTTTGAGAAAATCAACAAGATAGACAAACCTTTGTCCAAACTTACCAAACAGCAGAGAGTGAACACGCAAATTAACAAAATCAGAAATGAAAAGGGGGACATAACAACAGACTCTGAGGAAATCCAGAGAATCATTAGGTCATACTTTGAAAACCTGTACTCCACAAAATTCGAAAATTTAAAGGAAATGGATGACTTTCTGGATAGCTATCACTTGCCAAAACTAAATCAAGAACAGATAAGCAATTTAAATAGACCTATAAGCCCTATGGAAATATAAGCTGTCATCAAAAGTCTCCCAACCAAAAAAAGTCCAGGTCCAGATGGCCTCAGTGCAGAATTCTACCAGAAATTCAAAGAACAGCTTATACCAATTCTTCTCAAAGTGTTCCACACAATAGAAGCAGAAGGGTCTTTGCCAAACTCTTTCTATGAGGCTTCAATAACCTTAATTCCCAAGCCACACAAACATACAACTAAGAAAGAGAACTTCAGACCAATATCCCTCATGAACATTGATGCAAAAATACTCAATAAAATACTGGCAAATCAAACCCAAGAACACATCAAAACAACCATTCACCACGATCAAGTAGGTTTCATCCCAGGGATGCAGGGATGGTTCAACATACGAAAATCCATCAGCGTAATCCACCATATAAACAAGCTGAAAAACAAAAATCACATGATCATCTCACTAGATGTTGAAAAAGCCATTGACAAAATCCAACACCCCTTCATGATAAAGGTCTTGGAGAGATCTGGGATAACAGGGACATACTTAAACATAATAAAAGCTATATACCGTAAACCAAGAGCCAACGTCAAACTAAATGGACAGAAACTCAACACAATTCCTCTAAAATCAGAAACAAAACAACGCTGTCCACTCTATCCATACATTTTCAACCTGGTACTTGAAGTTCTAGCTATTGCCATACGACAACAAAGGGGGATCAAGGGGATACAAATTGGGAAGGAAGAGGTCAAACTTTCACTGTTTGCAGACGATATGATAGTTTACATCAATGACCCAAAGAACTCTACCAGGGAACTCTTACAGCTGATTAACACCTTCAGCAAAGTGGCAGGCTGCAAGATCAACTCAAGAAAATCAGTAGCCCTACTATATACAGATGATAAAAGGGCTGAAACTTTAAGATTTATTTTGTAACTTTTTGAAACAGAGAAAACAACACACTCTTGGGGAAAGGTCGGGGGTAGAAGAGCAGGCCCTGGGTAGTGACCACGGCAGCACCTGGAGTTTGAGAGGCCTGCCTAGGAGAGCCACACGCACTGCCACACAGCACAGGGGACAGCTACTGTCAGAGGCTCCACAGACCAGTTCACACGCCACACAAGCAGCTATAGATCCAAGTCATAAAAGTCCTCCAGCTCATCGTGAAACAAGTCCCACTCGTCCTCAGAGTCTGTCAGCTCGTCGTCCCCACCTGCAGCCAAAAGCATAAGCAACATCTCGCCCAGCTCAAAGGTGACAACCTCCTCTTCGTCGTTGTCAGAGGGGTTGTTCTCTCTCTCCTCAATGAGCTCCTAGAAGTGTCTCCTTCATTGGGCCTGGTATCCGCTTGATGTCCCCACTTTCTGTCTCTGCGGCTCCTCTCTATGGCCATCAGGGTATGCATCCTTGTAAAAACAGTTCCCTCCAAATGGGCATCTCCCACGGCCTTCATCAAAATACCTGCACGCCTTGTTGCTCATGGTCTCCTTGTATTTCTGAATGAGTCTCTGCTTCTCTTCTCTCTCCTCCACCCAGTACTCACTTGGAATGACAAAGTTATGTAATCATATTTTTTAAGGTTTCTAATTTACAGATTTTAGAGGTTAAGTTCAGGTTTGATAAAAATACGTGAAATAAAAACTAAAATTTAGACAAAAATAGTATTAGTCAAATAAAATAAGTGACCACAGTGTGGAAAAGTTGAAAATAGAAGAAAGAAAGAAAGAAAACAAAATCCTCTTCCTGATCTTTGATGAAACCTTGGGTAGTAACAGTGTATGACTGGTATTTGCAATTTGGTGTTCTCACAAACATTTACATTGTAAATCTACTGTCAGTATCTAGCGCACATATCCGCAGTAAGCATAGTTGTCATGCCCATGACTCGCTTGCTTCTTTCAGCAGGAGCACTGAATGGACACGCTCCTTTGGCGGGCTTCCAGTGTGTGATGCACTACAGTAAATGCAGATTGGGCATGGAACGGAAGGGGTGCTGGCTCCGGGGAACACAGTGCTGCTGCACATGAGGACAGGAGTGAAAACTTGCACTCTACCGTTTCTGCAACTCGTCAAACATTCCCTGGAGGTGCTGGAGCATCGTTTGGGATTTGGCTAGAAGCAGGCTAAACTGACACTCAAGTGTGACAGTTGCACATATTCCCTACAGCGGGCATTACAGATTGAATGAGAGGTGTGTGTTCAGAGGAACCAGTGTTCATCCCTAGGGCACGAATGGGCCTCGGGAGACCGTTCACTATGGAGGGACACTATCTCAGCCTAGGTACATGGGGGAGGACCTAGATCCTGCCCCAAACCATGTGACAGACTTTGATGATCCCCCATGGGAGACTTCACTCTCCCTGAGGAGTGGATGGGATGATATGGGAGATTAGTGGGGGTAGGGGCTGAGAGGACATGAGGGAGAGGGAACTGGGATAGTTATGTAAAATAAGATTGTTTTTAATTTAAATAAAATTAATTAAAAAGAGAGGTGTGCATTCAGAAAGCTGTTACTTGGATAAAGGGTGAACTCTAAGTGTGGTTAGCATGTCCCGGGGTCAACTGTTTTTAGCAATATCCCGTTCATTTGCCAATTTTTTTGTTCGTTCTTGAAACACATCTTACAGAAGAAAGAAGTAAAAGAAAACTAAAACTCACTGCAGTTATTCCAGACAATTTTTCCCTGTTGGCACCTCTGACCAGTTGTTCTGCCATCATGAATAAGTCTGAAAATAGTCTTTAATTTTCACTATTAAAATTTCTAAGAGTTGGCACCATCACCCCTGATTTCCACAGTGGAATCTTCAATAGTTCCCAAGTTTTGTTTCCTCTGGAAGGCTGTTGTAGCTCATGCCCACAACTTCTTCTTCATGCAGCACAAAGTGAAGTCTTGGAAACTGTGGTCACGGTCAAGCTGACTGTGATCAGAATCAATATTGAGCAGATCATGACTAGAGCCTGATACATGTATGTCCCATGGTGCTTTTGTAAGGATTCAGGCATTATGCTGGCCTGCCCCTGTATCCTGGCAGAATGCACTCAGGCAGTACCATGGTCAGCCCAGGTGCAAAGGGCCCCTTTAAAAGACAGACCTCCACCTACTTACACTCTCTTTGCCCATTTCTCTCTTTCCCTCTGTTTCCTTGTGCAGACAGGACTTTTCTTGTCTCTCTCTTCTCTTCTTTCCTCTCTCTGTCTCTTTACTTCTTTTCTCTTTCCTTACCCCTTCCCTTTCTAACAAGACTTCTCCCTTCAGCGCTGTCTACCATGCATGTTTGTTCCTATGCCTCTGTCACCCACACCTGCCATGGAATGTGCCAGGGTTGCCCCTGAGCTTCATCCTAAAAGCTTTAAAAGAAAAGCTTTCAGTCATTGTCTTGGTCTCAACTTCTGCCTCTCTTTTTGCAGTCGCTAAACTCTTGAATAGTCAGTATCTTTACAAGATGGTCAGGCGTGGGCTTCTTATTAAAATGTCCCCAGCCTTCCTCTCCTTTGATATGTTCCTCTGTGTTGCTGTGATGATTGTTATTTACGTCCACGTTGATTGTAGCTGGAATCACATATGGTATCCTTTTGGGGAAGTTCTGTAAGCACATTTTAAGTAAGGAAGAATTAATTGACGTTGAAAGTTTTCCCTTGGAATTTCAGCACCTAGACACAGTGGCTCAGGAAAGGAAGCAGAGATGGATGAGCAGAGCTGACTCTGTCAGTCCTCCGTCAATCCTGGCTGTGAGTGCCTGCACTCATTCTGCTTCTCTTCCTCCCTCTTATTCGTCTCCCTCTGTCACCTTTCCCCATTGATCCTCCTGTCTGACTTCTCTCTTCTCCCTTCCACCCCCATATGTCTCCCCCATCAGCTCCTTCCTTCTTCACTGTGTCCACATGAGCCGATGATCAGCAGATTCAAAGGAATAATCCAACTCTTCCGCACCAGATTGTGACTGCTGAAACATTCCACCTCATGAACTGAACAGCTACTGGATTCTCAGTTTCCCCCGACTTGGAGACAGACATCTAGCCATCGTGCACGCTAATCCAATAAGCGCTCCTTTGCAATGCAAGGCACTCTGACTGCTCTCTTCCCCCCAGATATCCCAGTGTAATAGTGTAATACTGTTTCTCTCTCTCTCTTTTTTTTTGTTTTACAAGACAGGGTTTCTCTGTATTGTTTTGGAGGCTGTTGGTCCAGCCCGGCCTCGAACTCACAGAGATCCACCTGCCTCTGCCTCCCGAGTGCTGGGATTAAAGTTGTGTGCCACCACCGCTCGGCTTACTGTTTCTCTTTTAAATGTGATTTTGTAAAAAGTATTCGGAAGCAAGGAGTGCAGAACGAATACTTATAAGATTCTTTAAACACCAGACACCTAGCTCCTTGATAGGGCAGTGATCAGTGTTGTGAGAGGTGAGAATGTGTCACTGAATTTCCCTCCACAATGTGAATGCCTTGTCAGTTTTGTCTTTTTTTCTGAAACCATCAACATGACTCAGAATATCAAGTACATACCCAGTCAGGAAACACTTCAGGTGATTTAATTCACTCAAGTGATAAAGACTTGATCAAAAATTATTTTACACCTAGACAAAATTTTTAAATAGTAGAAGCATTACTTTTGCAAGATGGTTAGAAAGAAAGACACAGTGCCCAGCTAAGAATAAAGGATGAATGAGGTCTCCTGGTACACACACTCATAATACCTGCCAAACTTCTATGTATGATGATTTGCTCTTTGGGGACTGAGTTGCATGCTCTTAGACATTTCCTTCATGCACATAGGACCCTGTTTACTAGGACACTGAAGAGGTGACATGCTAATAAAAAGACAAGGCTCTGAAAAGGAAGATTCACTCCATTACACTGCCATCTAAGTTTGTCTAAGATAAACATGGCCTCCTCCAAAACACTCAAAGGCAATCTGAAAACAAAACTCTGCTCTCATAGATCACCACAGCCAGGTACCATGTGAAGACTTATATCATGATTAGTTTTTCTCCCTCTCACAAAGTGTGGACATCTGCAGGGTCAATACAGGTGGGAACTTCCTAAAAGCATGAGAATCCTTTACAGTTGTAACGCATTTCATAATGTGTCCAACACTCACACACACTCTCATTCTTATGATCATGTTGTTGTTGAAGGCAATCAAGTGATTTGTAAAAGACTAACATACATATATACATAGACACACACATATATGTGTGTGTGTGTATGCCTACTGGGTAATCTCTCTCTCAAATTAGTCAATAAACCCATACAATGGGTTTATTATTTATTTTTATGTATTTGATGCATTCTTTTTATAGATTTTATTTAAATTAGAAGCAATCTTATTTTACATATCAATCCCAGTTCTCCTTTCCCTCCCATACTCCCATACCCAGCACCCCCCATCCCATTTTCGATCCACTCCCCCAGGGATGGTTAGGCCTTCCATGAGGGATCATCAAAATCTGTTAAGTCATGTGGGGCAGGGCATATGCTCTCCCCTGTGTATCCAGGCTAAGAGACTATCCCTCCACGGTGAATAATCTCTCAAAATCCATTCTTGCACTAGAGAAAGATACAACCTAGGTCCACTGTGAGAGGCCCCATAGTCTGCCCAGAGCTCCTAGCTGACACACAAGTTCAGGGGGCCTGGTTTGTTCCTATATGGGTACCCCCATTGTCAGACTGGGGTTCATGAGTTCCTGCTTGCTCAGGTCAGGTGTTTCTGTGGGTTTTCCTAGTGTGGTCTTGACACCTTTGTTCATCACTCCTCTCTCTCTGAAACTGGATTCCAGGAGTTTGGTTCAATGCTTGGCTGTGGATTTCTGCTTCTGCTTCCATCAGCTGCTGGTTGAAGGCTCTAGGATGGCATTTAAGGTAGCCCCCACTATTACTTAGGGTCCTAGCTGGGGTCATTTTTGTGGATCTTTGTATAATTTCCTAGTGCCAGATTTCTCTTTAAACCTATAGTGATTCCCTCTACTGATGTTTCTCTTTTCTTGCTCTCCTCTGTTCCTCTCCCCACTCAATCTTCTGATCCCTCATGCTCTCCTCCCCCCTCCTCTTCTCCCTTGGTCTTTATAGTATCTCCCTCCCCTTCCTCCCATGGTCACAATTTGTTCAGGGTTTTTTATCACTTTCTGCTTCACTGAGACTCACTCTTATGGTACTCTTTGCATCCTAGCTTCTCTGGAAGCATGAGTAGTAGGCTGGTAATCCTTTTCTCTATGCCTAATATCCATATATGAGTGAGTACATACCATGTTTGTCTTTCTGTGATTGGGTTACCTCATTTAGGGTGGTTTCTTCTAGTCCCATCCATTTGCCTGTAAGTTTCAAGATTAAATTGTTTTTCTTTCAGCTGAGTAGTATTCCCTTGTGCAAATGTACCACATTTTCTGTATCCATTCTTTCATTTAGGGACATCTAGGTTGCTTCCAGGTGCTGGCTATTACAAATAATGCTGCTATCAACAGAGGTGAACAGATGTCCTTGTTGTATGAATGGGCATCCTTTGAGTATATGCCTAAGAGTAGAATTGATGGATCTTGGGGTAGAATGGTTCCCATTTTCCAGAGAAACCGCCATACTTATTTCTAAAGTGGCTGTACAAGTTTGAACTCCCACCAGCAATGGAGAAGCAATCCCCTTTCTCTAAATCCTCTCCAGCATAGACTGTCATTGGTTTTTTTTTATTTTAGCCATTCTGACAGCTTGAAGATGATATCTCAGAGTTGTTTTGATTTGTACTTCCCTGATGGCTAAGGATGTTGAGGAATTACTCAAGTGTCTTCATTGTTATGGGCATGTTATTGCTGAAGCTAGTCAACTGATTGCAAAAATACTGACATATATGCAGATGCACACTAGGTAATCTCTCAAAATCCTATATTCTGCAGCTGAGCTATTACAGTTTTTATGTTCCAGTGCCACATGTGACTAGAGAATGGTGTTTTAATGAACAGGAGGCAGGCCAGTTCCATTGTGGCTGACTATTCAAGCATTTCCCAAGTGGCAATTCAAACTTACAGACATAGATGTTATTTTGTAGTGCAACTCAATGCTGAGGTGATAAAACTTCACACCTGTGGTCAGATGACTGTTTCATGGGATGTGAGTTAACACAGAGAGCTGACTTTAAACATACCTTCTCGTCTCTAGTATCACATAACTATAATTTTTTGAGACAGGGTTTCTCTGTGTAGCCATGGACATCCTAGAATTTTCTCTGTAGACCAGGCTGACCTTGGACTCACAGAAATTTACCTTGCTCTGCCTCCAAAAATCTATCAGTTGCCAACAAGCATTCTGTTACTGGTGATATTTTGTGCCCAATTATCCTCTTTAAGCTTGTGTTTGATTGATTTGATGGGGCCCATTTATGTGCTCCTAACAGCAGTGAATTCATAGGTGATCTGCTCTGCTGTGTTTATAAAATACTGCTTCCTTATAGCCATTCACTACCAGTGGCTCTTAAAATTAAATTATTTCAACATATTGTATATAAAATCTATTTACGTTATTTATGTCTGTCCTCTGAAGCACATTATTATTCATTACCTCTTTTCATTAATGTTTTAAATTTTTCACTGATTCCTTGTGGATCTTGCATACTGCACCCGTATCCCACTTATCTCCCCGCCCCTCATTTCTACCCTCTGCCTATTCAACCTCCCCCCTCAAAAAAGTGAAACTGTGAGCAAATCCAAAGACCAAACACAAACAAAAAAGGAGAAGCATCTTGAATGGAAGCTGTGGTGTGGCTCACTGAGTCACACAGTTTATACTTTAGAGCATCCATCATCACTTGCTGGTGTCCGTTGCTAGGAGACACTGGTCTGTGTGAGGCCTCTGGCTTCTGCTGCACTACCAGTAATGAGCTCTCTGGGACTCACCTTGGTCACCCATCCTGTTACTTCTTGTGTTGTCGAGATCTTGCTGACTTTGGATCTTTCTAGCGCAGTAAGGAACTGGTTTCACACTGTGGACATTTGAAAGAGTTCACCCATTAGGCCTGTCTAGCCACAGGTACTTGGTATTGAGATTCTTTTATTTTAAAATGTTCTGTTTGTTGTTTATATCCATATATGTTTTTGTTTAGCATAAATAACAGCAGTACTAGCTCAAAAGTGACAAGGTGGTTAACATCAAATATTAAATTAATGAAACTATTTAAACCTACAGCAATATAAAGGTCACATTAGGGTACTTCTGTCTCCTCCCTGTTTCATATTATATCATTCAATAAGTTTGGTCTCTAATTTAATGCATGTACATTATGAATGCTTCTTACCACCAATAGTCTCTGACATCTACCTCTCTTCTCTCCACCCATCATGCTTTTCCCTACTAATGTATTTCTTGTGTTTGCATGCTTTTGTTGTGTTTTTCATTTGGGGGTGTCAGCATCATTGTATCCTTGGGGGTTGGAACTGTCCACTGGAACCTGGTGGATCTGCAACTGCAAGCAGTGTCTCTTCCTGTATGAGTCCACCAGTATCTACACTACAGAGTACCCCCACTCTCACATCCACTGAGACACACTGTCTTGTACGGATCTGTTGCAAGTCATTGCTGCTGCTGAGTTTGGAATTTCACAGGTTGAGTTTCTACCAGATGGGATTTTCCTTTGCGTCTTCTGTCTCCTATATTCTACCTCCTTTGTGACAATGAGTTCTGAACCTTAAGGAGGGCGTTATAAATACATATTTAGGTCTGTCACTCAGCATCTTTGTCAGCGATGAGTCTCTACATTCTCTACAAAATGAGTTTCTCTGATTCAAGAAAACAGTATACTTATCTAAGGATTTAAAGTAGATATTTATATGCAATTTGTTTAATTAAGTATCAATAGCACTTTCCCTTATGGAGCCTATGATATCCAAAAGAAACGGTTGTTTTTGTTTGCTTGTTTTGTTGCATTGTCTTTGCTTTTTGTCAGCTAGGTTTATATCACCAGATATGGTACCGATATGAACACACCATTAAACCAATCAGAGAAAACTCTTTTTTAAATGTTTTATGTAAACTAAAAACAATCTTCTTTTAAGTTTTTCAAGTATTTTTATTCTTTGTGTGTGCGTAGGTGCCTGTGGAGGCCAGAGAGCACTTTGGGTTCCTTGGAGTTGGAGTTACGGGTGGCTGCGAGCTGTTTCATGTGACTGCTAGAAAGTGAATTTGGGTTCTATGCATGAGCAGGTGATGCCCTCAACTGCTGACCATCTCTCCAGCCCTCAAAACAGTTAAATTTCCCTAAACGTTCAAAGTGATGCCAGAGAAGTACAGGCAGAGAATGATAGGGACTTCTAGCCCCCATCACATCCTAGAGAAGAGAAGCCCTAGAATGACCAGTGGGTAGAGGCAGCACACACAGAACCCGGACAACACTGGCAGAAAGAATAATTCAGCCAATGGTAAAGGGAATGTGCAGCTCCCCCTTCTCAGAGCTCTTTATTCTTCTACGCTGGAGTATCAGTACAAAAGTGCAGCCATCAAGAACACTGGGACTAGATGGGTGAGTCCTGCCCACTGCCAGGACTGCAGAGGAAGGAATAAGATAGTCTTACCTGAAAGTCAGAGTTATTTCTTTACAGAAATTCTGTTATGCCTGATATTTAACACAAGATAAACCTGTGGGGTGGCTCAGTGTCTGATACCACTATGTTTCCTGACTTACAGGACACTTACTTACAAAGGCCTCTTGGCACCTCACACTATTCTAGGCATGCCACTGCTTAGAACAGAGGTAGTTGGGAGAGACAGCTCAACTCTGAATAAGCAGAACAGTTGGAAATTCTTGTGAATAGACTCTCTTTATCTGCAAATGAATACTGGGGGCTTTAACAGATAAAACACAGCATCTTTGAAAAGATGGTTTTGGTAAATATAGACATATCAAAAACAAAGCTGGAAACAAACTTCCTTATAGGTAAATGATTAGGAACATGGGATTTTATAGTGAATTCAAAAAATCTCAAGTGAGATGTGTTTATGGTATACGTTGTAGAGAACACAAGACTGTCTCTGAAAAGTGTCTTCTCAAAACATACAGCCTATAAAGGTATCAACATTACCTCATCAACATTATACATTATGAAAATGTTCGCATGAAATACTATCCCAAAACATTTCTATGATGGAAATGCTCCCCGTCTCAGGGTTATCTAATCTGGAATTCACTATCATGTGCATATTTGGGATGTGGCCAATGCACCTGAGGGTGTAAAGTTTTCCTATCTGAGGTGGTTACCGATGTTTCATGAACTGAGCCATGGGTTTATTAGGAAGGACTTCTGTAACTACTACTAAGACTTCGTTAAGGATTGGGTACATACATGAAAACAAAACCCTCTAGACACATCTGAAAGTCTTAGCTGGTTTTGGAGAAGGAATTAGCACAATCTATGGGGTTAAAGAACTCCTGGGGATAATTCAGTGTGGGCTTTCCAACTCTTGGCCTTTGGTCCTCAGGAGAATGCCTACAGTCACAAAGTGTGTGGGATGCTTATTTTCGGATAGGGTTTGCAGAGCCAGAGGAAGATTTAGGGGTAGGAGAAGCTACAGGCACAGGTCCTTTCTGGGCACTGGCAGGCTGCACAGGCCTTTCTTTTTTTGGGATTAAGATCTTGTTCTTACTCTTGAACACTTTGCTGGGGTCCAGCTTGTTCACAAAGGAGTCGGTCTCTTCTGTGAGCAGACTTGTGTTGTAGGTGATGGGTTTGTACATACTGAACCATTGCTTGGCCTGTGGGCTAATGCCATAGCTGGTGAAGGCATATTGCCACTGGGGCAGGCCCAGGTGGGTGATGAGCAGGCGGTAATAGGCAGTAAAGGTATCTGTGAGAAAATGCCAGTATAATGCTCTGTCCAGGAACCAGATCTCAGTGTCATGAGCTAATCCAGGTTTCCCATGTTTGTAGAGGAGGCAAACCTTCCCATTGCCATTACACGAATCCAGTTCAAATATCACGCTGCGACAATCCAAGCGAGGCTTCTCTGGTTGCTCTTCATTGCCTTCTTCATCATCCTCTAGGTCCGCCAGAGTTGGTGCATTAGGAAGTGAATACATAGAAGACTGGTTGAGCTGAGTCAGTTTTGAAATGCCATTAATCACCATGCTTCCCAGTGGAATGATGTGCTCATCTAGCTTCCCACTCCATGTCATATGAAAACCATTGGTCATCAAATAGAAGTTTCTCACATCTTCAGGCATCACACAATTGGTTTTTTTTTTTTTGTTCCCATGAAGAAATCATATGACGTTCAGCAGGCAGCTTTTCTATTATGCTCACTTCTTTCACACCAGGAGAAGATTCCAGGATGCGTGAGACGCCCAGGGTCAGCTTCTCCAGGTGCGCCTTGCTGCCGGTTTGCAGCGGGGGCAGCGTCTCCTCCATGGCACTCGTCCCCACCCCGTGCGCAGCGGTGGCAGCGGCGGCCAACAATCTTATTTTACATACTAGTCCCAGTTCCCTCTCCCTCCTGTCCCCCCATTTCCCCATCATCTCCCCATCCCAGGCCCCATCCACTCCTCTGAGAGAGTGAGATCTCCAAAGGAGATCAACAAAGTTTGTCACATCATTTTGGGCCCTACTGAGGCCCTCCCCACTCTATCTAGGCTGGGAGAGTACCCCTCCATAGGGAATATGTTCCAAATGTCAGTTCATGCTCTAGAGAGAAATACTGGTTCCACTGCCAGCAGCCCCATAGACTGTCCAAGTCCCTCAAGTGACACCCACATTCAGGGGGCCTAGTAATTCTGATAGGTCTGCCTTTTTATGTTATTTGGCATTTTTCCTTTGCAGCTCTTAATATATTTTCTTTACTCTGTATGATTGGTGTTTTGATTATTATGTGGTGAGGGGACTTGTTTTGGTCCAGTCTATTTGTTGTTCTATAAACTTCTTGTACTTTAATAGGCACGTTCTTCTTTTGGTTGGGAAATTTTCATCTCTGATTTTGTTGAATATGTTTTCTTGGCCTTTGAGCTGGACTTCTTCAACTTCTTCTATACCTATTATTCTTATTGTTTTTTCATAGTCTCACAATTTTCCTGGATAGTTTGTGTTAAGGATTTGTTAGATTTTAATTGTTCTTTTGTTGCTGAATCTATTTTGTCTAGTGTATCTTCAGCACCTAAGATTCTCTTTTACATCTCTTCTATGAAGTTGCATATGCCTGCATCTGTAATTCCTGACCATTTCCCCAGATCTTTCATTTCCAGATTTCCCTCAGTTTGTATTTTCTTTATTGCCTCTGTTTGAGTGGTCAAGCCTCAAACTACTTGAATTGTTTCCTTCAAATAAAGGCATAGAGAATAATACTGGAATACAAACTTCAAGTTGAGTGTCAGAAAAGCAAAGCAGTAGGCCACTACCTTCTTACCTCTACCTCAGACTGAATGGACTCATCCTGTCTTCATGAGCTCTCACCAAGCCTCAAACTGTAAAGTCTCTTCAACATAGCTGGAGACTACATGCCTCTAACTGACTGTGTTCCTGTCTCACATATGTCTCCCGAATCCTGGGATTAAAGTCATGAGCTCTATTACTCTTTAGACTGACACAATCTTGTATAAGCCTGCATGGCCTTGAACTCAGAGATCCATCTGACTTTGTCTCCTGCATCCTGGAATTAAAGGTGTTTGCCACCACTGCCCAATCACTATGACTTATGGATAACTTTGTTTTCTGAATCCTCGGGGAAGCTTTACTAAATCATAAATACTGTATCAAAACAGGTTTGATTGTTTTTCTTGTCTTCCCTTGCTTCATTTAAGAGATTTGTTTTTTCTTGCCTTTGTGTTTTCCTCCATTTCTCGTTTGTCTTTTCTTGCATTTCTTCAAGGGAGTTTCTCTTTTTCTCTTTAAGAGTCTCTGTCATCTTCATAAAGTTGTTTTTAATGTCATTTTCTTCTGTCTCATCTGCCTTTGGATGTTAAGGTCTTGCTGGTGTAGAACCCTAGTCTCTGGAGCTGTCACATTACTCTATGTTTTTGAAGGTGTTCTTATGCTCTAGTCTATCCATCTCTTCCTCCTTGGGAGCAGGTGTGTCCTGTGATCCAGGGGGTCAATTTTCCTCTAATTAATGTAGATGGGGCCTGTGGATTAGGTGGTTGTGCTTCCTTTCCCAGTGTGATGAGAGTCAAGCATCAATGGAGGAAGATGTGATGCTGATGGTTTGGATTCCCCCCAGGTCTATGGAATTTCAATACATGGGAAGGGTCATGGCATGTACCTCAGTTAACGGCCTCCATGGTGTGGGGAGCTGGAACTCACCTCTCCAGGTGACGGTGAGACCAAGGCCTACCAGAGAAAAATCTTGGCTGCACCAATAATAGTGTCACCACTAACACATATGGAGGAATTTGAATGATTCTTCCTCCCCTAGAAGCATGTATCATGTATCACTTTGAAAACTGAACCTCAAGGAATAAATTTCTTTTCCATTTAATTTTCAGCTTGCTTCATGTACATCTTGTAACCAAGGTGTGTGATGTGGTGTGAAATAGGGTCTTCTAATTATGATTAGAAATCTATAAAAAGTACAAGAACCTATAGTTTCCTGGAGGGGGTCTCTGTAGATTTAATAACTAATAATCCCTATGGAGCAAGTTACACAGGGAATTGAATTTCTTATTTTAGTATCTTACGTATTTGGTAATTTTATTTTCTAGATATATTGGGTATCTCTGTTCTATCTCAATTTGTTTATATTTTAAGTAAGTTAGAAAATAGTAGGTTCACATTTGGACTATTCAAACCCACTCTCTTTTGTTTAAATCCTTCTCCACCATACATTTGACTCCCTTATCCAACTACTTCCTTGGCACTTAGCTTTGTCCATTCAGTAATTCCCCCTTATATTTTAATTTTAACTCTATCATCTACTATCCCCTTCCTTGAAGACTACCTCTCTATGACCACTTTTTACTTATGTAGCTTCCACATGTATGTTAGTTAAATACACAAAACAAAAGAAACAAAAGCAGAACCCACACATTAAAGAAAAAACAATAACTCTGTATTGTTAGAATTTATTTGAGTCATAAATTATATGTGTGGGGTGATTTGCATATGAATTCTGGTGTCCTGGGAGGCCAGAGGCTTCTCATACTGATAAAGCTGGAGTTATAGGAAAATGTGTGCCCCCAGAAATAGGTTCTGGGAATTGAACTCAGGTCTTCTCGAACTGCATATGTACACTTCACCATGGGGCAGTTCTCCAACCCCAAGACCCCTGTCGTTCCTGCCTGGCTTTCTTCACTCAGCGTAGTGTATTTCTGATCAACACAAACAACCTGAGCAAGGAAGCCGCACAAACAGATCCAGACAAGTATACAAAGGGTTAAATCAGAGTTAACGCATTTATGTTTAACATGCATTCTTAGAACTGAAATGATATGTTGGGTAAGTACATCAAAATAGCTCCAGAAGCAACAAAATGTGAGAGTGTTGTACTAGGGAAGGAATCACTTTACTTGTGTTGTTGTGACCAACATGCAGTCTAAGTTTGAATGTTCCACGTCCCATCCTGTTCCTTCTTTCAATCTGCAGTTCATGGTTTCTGACTTGTCTATAATTTTCCTGCCATTAGTCTGCTTTGTTTGCATGATACCTTAATGACATTCCTAATAAAGCATCTGTACTTATTGGACAGCATAGAAAATATCAGATGCAGAAGGAACTAAGGGTAATCTACAGAGATTTTAATAGCGCTTTATATGGGATTAAGTAATTTACTCCAAGTGATCCCAAAGCACCCATTCCTCCAATTGTATGCTTGTCAAGTGCTATCTGTATGTTGTGTTATAGGTTTATGGTAGATATTTGTTATTTCGAGATGTCTGCTAGTTTCAGCAAATTCTTCACACAAACATGTATCTGTACATTTCTCCGTGTTAGAGTAATGGAGAAGTACCTAATTCAAAATTATAATTGTATAGTAGCATAGGTTTTAAGGCTTAATTTTGTTGGAAGTAAGGATGGTTGACTGATTGTATACTGGGTTAGCAAAGTGTGTTATTAACTCTGTCCCTAAGAACAAACAACCATTTTAGTCTCTTTGAACGTAGGAAATATTTTCATTTTGTGTGTAACAAAAAATGAAACCCTGTATAGGAGGAGCCAGTGCTTTTAACTGTTGACCCAGCTCTCCATTCTCTCATTAATATTTAATTAAATTCATTTTTGTCATTTCAGACTACTACATAATGTATTCTAAATACTCTACCCATACCCACTTTGGTCTGTCTCCTGCCCCTCTCAAGTGATACATTTAATAAAAATCCATTTCTACATTCTTGTATTTTTGTTCTGTTGGTGAATCTCAGAGTTTAACCAGAGGCATCTGCGTGACCAAGGGTTTAGAACTCTGCACGGGAGTGCAGTCAGTTCATAAATGGGTACACAAATGAAGACAAGAATCTATGTACTATGCATAATATTACAGTAGCCAATAGTTCAGCAGAGAGTAGTAAGGTCACAATAGCCCTGCCCCAACTATAACTGGTTGCTGAAATCCATATGCAGGGTCAGAGAACGTGGACACAGCTGTTCTAAGTCCTTGTTAGTAATAGCTGTGCCATTTCCAGAAGATAGCATGTCACAAACATCCTCCTTATTTTCTGGTGCTTGCATCATTTTTGCTCTTTTTTACCATGGGGATCCTCGTGATGCTATAAATGTGATGCTTATGGCTGATCACCCCACCGTTGTTTATTTTCAACATCTTGTGAAACCATGATGTAAACACCATTTTTCTAAGAAATGACTATGGAAGCTTGGGGGGAGCCTTGGTCAGAGCACTGAGGAAATGATAACCAGGGGGCTAGGGAGTGAAATGACCCATTCTGTGGGACTGGTGTACTGAATACCACATGAGAAATATCACCATCTTCAATCAGCCTCATCCAGTGTGCCTGTCCAACCAGCCAGATATTTTCGCCCCTTGAAGGAAACACCTTGAATTTTGCCTTCACAACCCTGCTGTGTCTGGGTAAGATCTGAAGAGTGGAGGTTACTTTTTGATCTGAAAGATAATACAACCCAAAGCTTAGTACTGGTCCACTGGAAAACTCTATGGGATCCAGGAGATCCAGAGAAAAATGGTACTTGGCTGGACTTCAGAGACAAATCTTTCAAAGTGTACTCCTTCCAGATTAATAACTAAGTGTGTTGATAGCTCTCAAAAAGTTTATCTTTCCAAACTGGTGGGCAGAAGCTAACCCAAGTAATAGTGTTGTTTATCAGCAGGTATGACCTTCTCCTAGAAATGCCAGAAATGTCCTTAGGCTGAGAACTGACATGGACCCTCCCTAAACCAACCCTAAGGATTGAGACAAGCTCTGTGATTCCCAGGAGACCTAAGTAATAATCTTGTGTAGGAGGACAACAAGATCTCAAGAA